AGAAAGAGAATATTTGATGTAGAAATATGAAAATGATCTCTTTCAATTGCATTGCTACCGGTTAGATTTGAAAATGAAAGCCAGGTGCATGAAGCATATGAACAAAAGATACACTTTCAACAAAAATGAGCATCAAGAAGCTTTTCATTGAAACGTTGCATTATAAATACACACTCATCACGAAAAAACAAAAGTCCAACCACACCCATTGAAACAGTCTATTGAAAGCCGGCGCTGTTATTATTTTTATCACTTACTTAACTCTGTAAGAGAGACGCATTCAAAATGACTTCACATCTCTATATATAGAGGCTCTATAGAACCTTTTATGTATAGAAAAAAAGTAGCACACTCTAAAGAACGGCAAAATATTGTCACCATCAGGATGTCTGTCGACAAAAGCCAAGCACAGCACAAAAAAGATGAGAAAAAAGAACCCTGCTATGCTCCTGATGCAAAGGAGACGAGAAACAAAGAACAGCCAACAAAATATGTAACATGCTTTCAGGTACACAATAAATAACGACACGCGATACACAAAGCTAACATACAAACTGCAAAACAATAATTAAATTGACAAAAACAAAAGAAAAAAATAAATATGACAAGAAAAAAATAACATCAAAATTGGATGGAGTGATAGAAGATGCATACAAATTGAGCATCTTTATTATCGGTGACTCTCTCTCTCTTCTCTCGCTTGAACAGAAAAGACGACAAATAAAAAAAATCCTTTAAACTTAATTGAGTACATACAAAACTTTTCATGTCATCTAATTACTTCAACGACAAAATCCATTTATCATAATGACAAATTTTCATTTCGTTGCTCCGGGCAATTTTCTTTCATTTTTCCTGAATTCCTGCTGTTGGTTTGCCATGTCTTCTTTTTCGCCCCCGCTTCTTTGTAATTCGACTTTGAGAGAAGTGCGGTGGAGAGTGCCGGCAGTATTGTGTGGACATTGAATTTTTCTGTAATTCACATGGATATTGTCGTTTTTCTTTCATTTGTTATCGGATTCGCCATTGTGTATCATTTGTCTTTAATTATTTCGGTTGCCATAGAGTGAAATCAAACGAAATTGGCTCAATATATATAATTTTGCAGCAAAATTTGCTTGTTTCATCTTCATATCGCCCTGAGTAAAAAAAAAAAGCCATTTGATCATACATATCCAGTAACATTGAAGCGGTGGTTTTTGTTTACTAATTCACAGAGTCAACTTCTCAGCTTACCGTTCGTTTGTTTCAATCGCTTTCCGATGACGATCCACTTTTAATTATAACTTTTTTCTGCGTATTTTTTTCCGTTTTCGCTTCACTTAATTTGGATGTAGAAGCGAGACTTGATTGAAAGTGGCAGTATTTTAGCCGAAATTATTTTTATCGCTGAAAGCCAAATCGAGTCGATTTGTTAAGAGTAAAATATTGAAAATCATTCAATCGTGCAATTTTTTTTTTCAATCCCTCAATATATCAATGCAGTCTATCGAATTGAAACCCTTTTTTTTATTATGGAAAAATTCCGAAAAGATCAAGGCAAAATCCGATTTAATCGCTTCGATTGATTAATTGATTTTCGTTTCATAGCAAAACATGTCAGATTCAGCCATCGTTTGAAAATTTCACTCCGGACGCAAATCGATTCACATTCAAATGCACAAATAATTTTCAGAAAACCAAATTCCATAAAGTATACTAACAAAGACGAGATTTCAAATTGAGTCGAAATATTTATTGATCGAAACGATAATCCATTGAATCGTTTTAGCAAATTAACATCAAAATTCGACAAATATTATTCGACAAGTATTCAATTTGTTCCTTCACTTGCATAGATTTTGACCGGAGGTTTCGAGGTAGAAATTCTCACCACCCACCTGGGTAATCGATTTGAAATTAATCCCCACTTTGCGCATTAGCTTTTTTGGCAATTTTAACGAGACCAGATACAATCAAAATGACGAGCAAAAAGTTTTAGAAAATTTAGAGAAAAAAATGTAAAATCACTCTTTAATAATCCAATTCGCTCGCGAAAATTTTATTAATTGAGTTGGATGCCATTTTATGATTCAATCAGAATCGTTCAATCAAAATCTCATCTTGTCAGACAGTGGATTATTCAAATCACTGCAGTGGTTTCAACAGCATGCTTGGTATATGTTGTGGCTATTATTATTTGGCATATTTCTGGCTATTAAATTCTTGGTAAATTGAAATCGTGGCTAACATTGTTATTTTTTTCTGGAATTTCATTCTAGTAAATAACATTTGATGCTACTAAAATCATTCCAAATGTTGTTATTCAATTTCTCTGAATTAAATTGGAAATCTCTCATTGTCCGTTGGGACCCATCGCCAGCATCGTTATAATTATAATAACCAAATGAGATCGTCTTATGCATAATTCAAAATCTGAAGCTCTTCACACAAATTATCCGATTTGAATAAATAATATTCGTGCATTTAAATATTTAAAGAAGCCATAATATATCGTAATTGGTATATGTTTGTTCAATATAAATAAATAATTTTTGGTAAAATTGTTTATCGAATACATTGAGTATTGACCGAGTTTTCCGGATTTTTTCAATTTCCATTTTCACTTTAAATTGGTTTTCATTTGTAATTCTTCAATATTGCAATAAAATCAATGCATTAAATGGTTAACATTTCGAAAATTGATATTTCATAAATGCATCGACGTCATTAGTTCATATATGAACTATGGTTTTTATATTTCAGTAACCGTTCAATCCAAGTAACACGTAATGTTGAATCTGAATTTAAGCCCTAAAGTATTTTCGGGTAGAAAATTCCATAAAATTCCGGAAAATTATCGTAAAAACAACATTTCGCCATTAAAAATAATCACTGAATGTTATATTATGGACATTATGGCTACTATCAAGAAGGTCATGTAATGCATAGAGTAGTTTTTTTTTACGCTTTATATTTGCAATGCCATCATTGCTGATTTCATTGCGCTGTGTGTGCGCGTGCTTGTTCGCTTCAAAATGTATCGTGTTGTAGTTCTTTGATAATAACGATCGTTGTTTGCGTTGCTCTTTTCGTTGTTTATTTCGTGTGTTTCAGCACTAGCTGAAATCACGTGGGGAGCACACAGGAAGTGGTGTATTCATTCAATGCCGAGACTGAGAAGAACGGGGCACATTGAAACGAGGCACAAATTCATGACTATATGTGTTTTTGTTTATGGCTTATGATTATAAGAAGAATAAAAAATCAAGAGCTGAACATTTGTTGTTTCGCGCGAATGTGTGCAATTCGATGGAAGCGAGATGAAACGCCGTATAAATGGTAAAAGTGCGCAACTATATAGCACAAAAAGTGGTAAAAAGCATCGTAAATATAAATGTTTTAGTTGCTTATTTGCACTTTTCTTCCAATTCAACAACCATGCTGATGTTCACATCAGCATTTGCATAGCCATTCCGATGGCTGAATACAAAAAAAAACAATCCCATATCGCCAGCAATGTAAAACACACGGTGAGGCAACAGAGAACCAGAAACACAAGCGAAACAACAATTTTTGACCTTTTCTCTCTCATTCCATATAAAAAATTAAATGAACAGGAAAAAAAGAGCCGCCAAGTGGCTGGAAGAAAAGCGAACTCACAAAATACCGTACCATTTTAAATTCCGTTCGGAGTTTTTTTCTCGGCTGTGCGGATATTTGGCGTACCTCGAGTCGGATATGTTGGTCAAGACCAAAATGCAATTTGGATCCGGTGTCATTGCGTTTATGATTGCTCTTAAACCACCATTATTTCTGGATTATTAATTTTAAGTTTTTGGCAAATTCCAATAAAACGCCTCACACACACAATGGACAAAAATGAAGAACATTTTTAGTATTATCCATGAAATTCGATGCAGTTCCGTTCACACATTCAATTGATTGAAAATGAAACAAATTCATGGTAGAAGAAAACATGGAACTTGAAGTTATTTTCTTGTTTTATTACCGATATGCATTTTTTTCGAGGAATAACCATCATCCAAATACTTCACTCGTCGAACGATCAACATAAAAAAATATTTACGCTTCGAAAAGTGTGGCTGAGCAAAAAAGGAACAGCTATTGATTTCTCGAAATTGCATCAGTCGCTTGCAAATGAAACGATTGTATGTGTGTGTGTCTTGGTCGTTGTACGAATGGCGTGAAAAAGTTTTCTCAATGTAACCATGTTCTCGCAATTGAATACAATTTTTTCATCGTCTATTTGTCGAATACTGAATGTATAATTCACCGATACGTCGCACATTTTTTTTCGTCTGGTCTGCACACAGCTTCAATTTCTGTGTTCATGTTTATGCGCTGGTGTTTTTTCTCCTGTTCAGCTCACACAATTTTTTTTTGCTTGTAACAAGCACTAGCTTGATTTATATATGTGAAATATAAACGATTGTGTGCATGTGCTTCGTTTTTTTGTAGCTCGCCAAATTTCCACCATATAAATTTTTCATTCATGCTGAACATTTTGAATTGGTGAACGAGCGTGAGAGACAGAGAGAGAGAGAGAGAGAAATTGCATGTTCACTGACAATTGCACATTTTCGCCGTCGACCACATTGAAAATTGGTTGAAATTTTGCATTTATTTCGAACACGATTCATTTCCTGTTTGCATGGACAGATTAAATGTGTACAATTCCAATTCAAATCGCAGTGCTCGAATACGATCAGTGAATGCACTTTTTTCGCCGTTTCTCTCTGTGTTTTTGAAAACAATCTGATATTTATATGGAAAAAATGGTTCATTTCTATCGCAAAATTGTGCAAAATGATTGAAAAAGTCTAGAGAATAGATGAATGGACGCATTCTTTCATTAATAATACTAATATTAGGGATACGGCTGAAAAGTAGTTACATTAATAGAAGCCAAAGTTCAATTGCAAATATGAAAAAAAATCATTTCAATTTTTCATGAACGAATAAAAGAAACTAATGAAAGTCTGCATGAATGAACGTACCTGTGTTGATTTAGTGTATCGTTAGTAATTGGCGATCGGGCAGGATATCCAGCTGTGCGGGGACTTCCGGTCATCAAGTACTCTGCAAGAAGAAATGAAAACAAAATAGAAAATATAGTTGTCAAGTTTCCGTTTGCGTACAAAGACGATTTGAAATCGGTTTTTGATGGTTGCCAAAAATTGATTCAGAATAAATGGTTTTACTTTGCTATTTACTTCCAAACAAAATTCCGCATTTATTGTAGACTTTGTATACGAACGAATCGAATCAAATAAACTTATGTTCAATGAGGCAATAATATATATTTGTCGTTATGTTCATGACATTTATTCGATCCGCAAAAACAAAGAATTGAACAAAGTTCGCCTAATCGCCAACAACAAAAAAACACAAAAGCGAAAACAAATTGATATTAAAACCTTCAAGTTGTAATAATTCGCTTTCTATTTTCGTCTGAATTGCCTCGGATTCAATGGGATTTCAACATTTTTCTATATTATATGTTTGGGTTCTGCAAAATGTCAATAGAGGGATGATAAGTGGTTTTGATCTTATTGTATTTTTCGTAATAACAAAAACAACAACAGCATCATCAAATGTTTCAAATGGTCTAATAAAATAAGTGAAGCAACGAGCGCAAAATGGACAAAAAAAATTTCATTCGTACAATTTTGAATGAGTATTTCAATTTCGATGCTCTTCATCTCCGAACAATTTGGAACGTAGTTCTGCAGTGGGAAATGAAGGCACTTATCGTTGCTTTGTCCATTCAACATCATAATTTATTCATTTGCTGCTGCAAACAGAAGACGCTTCCATGTTACTGGAAAATTGAGAGCTGTCTTAACTTCATAATATTGCATTTTACTAATAAATTACTTACAATATGAATAAACGAAACATCGTGTTCGTGCACCGTTGTACTTGATATCAAATAAAATGTTCATTTTTGAAAAAAAACGGGCGATTCTCATCACAAAATTGAGGCGATTAAGAACGACGAGCAAAAGTTCAATAATATCTCGCAATTTTACCTCTTGGTTACCTTTATTCGATGGAGCGTGTTTGATTACAGTGTTCGACGAGGTGCATCGAAAACGGGGCGAAAGTACATGGAACAAATCGAATAATAATTCTACTGTCAATCATTTTACGAACTGTACTTCTACATCCAATGCACATCAATTTATTGATAAAAATCGAATAATAACTCCCATGCTCGCTGATGACGGGAAAATGACGGAAAGTGGAAAAACGAAGAGGAGAACTAAAAATCAGCGACTTATGTATCGAAAGACACTTCGCCAGCATATTCTTCGAAGCGAACGAATTCTCAAATCATAATCCGTCGACGAGACACACACTCGTGTTCGGGGTGATTTTTATGACATTTGTTTTTATTTGCTGCGTACTGATGCGAAAGACTAAATAGAAGAAAAAAAAACGAGTGAGACAAATAAAAAAAACATCACACAGACACGCACACATTTTCATGTTACACACACACATACATGTTTATCTTATTCACATGATTTGCTCTTCATATTATTTTCGATGAATGACAAGACGGGTACGTTTTCCCTTGCTGCCTGAGTGGCAATGATAAGACAAGATGGAAAATATGTACATCTTTTTGGATGATTCGATACATTAAAGTCTTTTTTCTCCATTTTTGTATTTTCAACGATGAAGCATCGAACGAGCTAACAAATCAACTCGATGACAAGTCGATAGGTTAATATAACAGGTAAATATGGATGATTTATGAAACAATCTACTGCTCACATTCGTTGCAAATTTGAATGCTTTCTTGTAATAACTTCTGCTTGAGACGGTAGTTTATGAAAACGCCCACGATTTGTTACATTTTCAATTATCTTTTTAAAATAAGTCTTGTTTCGATTTCGAATTAATTACTATCTATGGTAATCAAAGGGTTGAAGATGTTTTTGAACAAACGTGTATTGGTTCTAACTTTTCAAGTACCTGATCAATCAGGAGAGAGATCTTATCTAGTACATTATAACCTTTTTTTATGTTTTTTAACACTACATGAATTACAGCTACTGTTCTTGTTTCCTTCTATTTAGAACCACAGTTCTGTGGGGCGAAAAAAAAAATGCAAAATCGCCTACAATAAAATTGTAAGCTTTAAGTGTCTGTCGAATGGAAAACCAAAACGATGACAAATTTTATTGATTGCTCCTTTTCGTCTGCCAAGATAAAAGCATTATTGGACCAATTCGTGTGTCATATTACAGATAATCTGTCGATATATTTTATTGATATGGCGAAAAAGGTACAACCGTATCAAAATTTGATAAGACGAATATGATGGGCCATCACATGTTTAAATTACATACAGGGAACGGGAGAGAGAGAGAGAGATGTGTCGGAGAAAAGGAAAAGTGGTTGACGGGCATGCCGTACACGAGAACGAAAAATAAACGACATGTAAAATCAACTTCAATGGCATCGTTCGATGTAAATATATGAAAATGCGCTGAAAATAAATGCGACTGAAAAATCTGACGAAAAGCAAATCACCCGATACGCATCTGCACCATGACGCAGAGAAGCACAAAAATCTCGGCAAAGAAGTCAACATAAACAACAGCCAGTGAGTGACTGCGAACAAAAAAGTTTTTTTTAAAGAAAACAGAGTGAATGATAAAATGTATACAAATGTATGCAAATTTAAATATAATATCAGAGAAAAGGCAAATAACAGCAAAAGCGAGACGATCCAAAGAAAAAGGCACACGAGATACACACATATACCCTTACACAGTGAAAATGTGATGTATAAAATTACATATCATCGTTATTCCGCCCAATGATACACACAGTATTGAGCTTGTGTCGTTTAGAACCAATATAAATGCAATTTATGCTGATTGGAAAAGGTGTTAGCACACTCGAATCATTCGAATTGAATGTGTGCTAGATTTGCTTTCATCCCTTTCGGGGGGCGCGCCCGCACACAACATGAATCGTCGTCAATTGAGTATGTGCTTTTGAAAATATGTTTCGATTTGCAATTGAATGACAAATTCATATGCAGGCAATTCGCTGCTATCAAATCTATTTTGAAGAACATGATACATTCGCACACATATTATTTTGCTGCCAAAGAAAAGAAATCAGATTGAAAAGGTAAAATAAATGCTGCTATAGCATAATGGATGTAAATCATATCCCACCGTGCGTCTCCAATAATTTTCAATTTACTGCAATTCCACAAACACTTCATGACCTGAAAAGCTGTGTCACAGTATGACTTTTTGAACAGCAAAAACAGAAATTTACTTTCAAAACATTGTCAACTTATGTCTTTGAATGAAACTATTTATTTTACGCGATTTTTTTCTCCTTTCAACAACAAGAGAATCGAAATTACTGCAAAAAATCCCGAGATGAAACACTTGAAACGATATTTTTATTAAAAAGATTTGTAATTTATATTTTTTCTCAGGAAGAAAAAAATGCGAGTCGCATTTCAACCAGCTTGCTGGTACTTACCAAGAATTAATAGAGATGGAGGATGAAAAAAAAAGTCAGGAAAAAATTATAAAAAGTTATATATTGAACTACTTGTTCGTCAACATTCAATGAAACGACATGATCGTATTGCAAATATAAGCAAGCGAAATTCTCGAAAATAATTTCGACCGAATGAATGGAAAGGAAAAAGAAGTAATATAGTTTTACCCGTAGAATCCATCGCAATGAAAAATAAAGTAAAAGAGAAAGTGAATGACGGAGAGAGAGGGAGAAAGAGAAAGCCCAACCAATTTCCGATGAGTCGACTGCAGTGCGGCGGAAATTGAGTACGGTGTTTCAAACGTCGATGAGGGAAAAAATGTATTGCGAGATATGAAATACGCTTAGCTTCGGTTCGCTTTTATTAATAATTATTATGAAAAGCGGAAATTCATTGGTAGTTTTAAGTGATCTCAATCACATAAAATACAATTTATTTTCTCATCAAAATTGTGAAAATATTGTTCGGTTTGTTCAACGTCGAACGCAGCTCTCAAGAGATGAAGTGCATCGAATAATAAAAATTGCTTTCTGATGGTATTCTTTCAAATAAACAATGATAAAACAAAGCGTAATTTAATGTAAATGGTCTTTTTTTTGCAACAAATGCTGTGTCGAAGAGGAAAAACGCATAGAATAGGTGCGACGGGCCAAATAGATAAATGATGTCGTATATGTAAAGGCCGCTGATGACAGCTGTTCAGCTATTTTGGGTTTTGTATTTGTATTGTACAGTGGGCAGGAGTGGTAGCTGTAACAGCAGTGCTTAAGCTGGTTAGTTGGTGTTAGGAGAGGCATATGCGAGATGGCCCACATCAATTCCTTAAACAATCTCATTAAAATCGCATTAGTTTTTTGTGGTTGTTTTTCCGGTTGTGGCGCTTCCTTTTCATTAGATATTCATTCTGTGACGTTTTTTGTGTCGAGCATGTGTATGTGCGCGTGTCGATTTTAGTTAAAATTACATTTGTTCTCAGCCATCATTATTCGTGCACCAAATGGTTTTTCTCGTTTTCATCAGATTGTTCATGTTTTTTCAAGAAAGTGTATTTTTCCCCATTTTCTTGTAAGATATGAACGCATTTTTTTTCTCTCAAGTTTTAAATGTGAATTTTTGGTTTGAGAATAAAATTGATTCTTCTTTGGTATGGTACTCGACAAGATAGTCGACAGATGAACTAAATTATGGAAAAGGTCTTGCAATTGTAATGAAAAGCATTCATTTTGCTGCGAACATTGAGTAATCGATTCATGTACCAAACACTATACACACACATCTCTCGAACACAGAGAAGAAAAAAATCGATACCGAAGCCATATTTATCGCTTGATGTGCTGAAATCTCTACGCTCTCACGTTCTACATTTGAGGAATGAATATGGATCGAAGCCAAAAAGTGGTTATCATTCTCTTTCATCTTTCTTTTTTCCCACAAGTTTTTCTCTCTCTCTTCTTATTCAAATTCATTTTTTTTCATCGTCTTCGTGTGTGTTTTTTTCGCTTGGGAAATTCGATGTATAAGATCTTCTGCATTTCTC